TTTCCACTACGTACTTAGTAAGCCATATAGTAATATTGAGCTTTTGGTCGTTTACATTATGGAAAAGAGCTTTTATGTGTCAAGAAGTTACTTAAGAAATGAGAAAGAGCTTTTATGTGTCAAAAAGTTCTAGTTTTAGAGCTTTTGTTTGTTTACATTTTAATTGTAAGCAGATGACATTAAATTTTGTATTGTTAGAATGTTAGTTTTGAATTTTGAGTGTTTGTTTATGGTTTGTTTCATGTTTCAAATTCCGATAATTTCCAATGTTGCATTCGTCATTTTTGGTATAATTTTGGTCGAATTTTGCTTACTATATGCTATAGTAAGTAAAAAAGCACAGAAGCTATTTGTATGGTAAATGAAATTTACTCAGTACGATAAGCTTGCTAAGTACGTAGTGGAAATGGCCTATAAGCTTAAATTTTTTTGCCTCTTGCTTGTTTGAAAGTGTAAATTCCGATAAGCACTCTCTTACGTTTATCATCTGTATTATTTTATTTATTCATATCTTCTAGACTACGTTTTAATTTTTATGTCGTATTGAATTGTACTTCGCATAGAAAAATACATCACGATTCAAATTTGAAAGGGTTTAAATCCTGACATTTGTAGTCTAAAAATTGTATATGAACAATTAAACCCATAGACCACTTTTGACGATTATTTGGATGTACTGTCACTCGATTGAATATAAAATTATAATTATACATAAATATATAATTAAATAAATATATTATATATATTTATATAAAATATATATATTTAATATAATATATATTTTAATAAATTTCTAAAAAATTTCAAACTAAAAATTTTAATTTCAATCGAGTGACAATACACTCAAATATATACGATATATTTTATACAAATATATACCATACATTACTATATATTTTTTACTAGCATATATTATATATTACTGTATATATTATACAAACATATAAAATATATTACCATACATTCTTTACAAATATATACTACACATTTTTAAGAAATACATACTATATATTTTTTACAAATATATACTATACATTTTTTACAAATACATACTATATATTTTTTACAAATATATGCTCTATATTTTTTACAAATATATACTATATATTTTATACAAATATATACTATATATTTTATACAAATATATACTAAATATTTTATAGAAATATATACCATATATTTTTTACAAATATATACTATATATTTTTTCAAATATATACTATACATTTTTTACAAATACATACTATATATTTTTTTACAAATATATAGTTTTTTTTATGTTTTATTTTTGACAAATATATACTATATATTTTATACAAATATATACTATATATTTTATACAAATATTTATGTACTATATATTATATACAAATATATACTATGTATTTGTGTTTTTTGCAGGAGTTTAGGTCATTTGTTTCACATTAAATTTAAATAATATAAAAAATTTGCAAATAAAAACATTAATCTTGTTTGTTAATTTCGGTATATCTTCAGTGTTGCTGATATTTTTTTAATTCAACAAAAACTTTTTTTTATAATTTAAAATAATATAACACAAAAAACTACCTAAGGCCCGGCATAAAAACAAATTAGCTGGATACCAATATTTAAAAACTATAATATATATATATATATAAATAAATATATAAATAAATATATAAATAAATATATAAATAAATATATAAATAAATATATAAATAAATATATAAAATTAAATACATATTTAATTTCAATCAGGACACCAAAAAGTATATTATCTATGGGACCCATGAAACCTCATGCTGCCATTGGCATATATTGTTTAGAGATTTTGTAAATCACAATTACGGCATCTATAAAAATACCGCTTAACGAATATAAAATAAAAACTTACAGATTATTTGTTAGAAACACACTAGCATTTTTGTATATGTAATTCCAGGATGTCTTTGACCAATTCTGCATATGCTTTCGGCCTAGTATCAGGACATGCTTGTTTTGGTTACTGAAATATTTCACCACATTAGTAACCTAACAAAATATAATTCATTTAAAAATATTATAAAAACTACATGAAACACCCTACCAAGTTAGCCAACATAGCCGGGGATTTCTTGATACCCATTGAGTATGCAACATTGAGTCCGTCAATGACACAATCGTACGGTGCGGTTTCGGCAACGAATGCTTTAAATCTGTCAACTTCCTGAGGCGTCGATTTTTGAAAAACATCATTCCTAATCAGGACTTTATTTAAAAACGAATTACTAAGCTTAGCAAAATCTGCAGCACTGACAGAAATATTTTCCATTTGATTATTGCAGTTTCTACATTTGCCCGAGCGGCTAAGTTTAGATTTTGTAATGCTAAGCAAATTTTTATTCTCTAGGCTCGTGATGTAATCAACTACTTTCTCACTTATGATGATATCATGCTGTCCAAAAAACTCTAACAATTTCTCAAATTCATGCTGGAAACTCTTGTCTGAATTCTTTGTTATTTGTTCAATGTAAGCAATGAATACTTCACATCTTGGCTGCTTGCCCGCTGTGACCATCTCATCCAATATTTGCCAACCATATGACATATCATTTGTGCTAAAAGCTTTGACAGCTACTTCGGAATACGCTGCTACCGTTGGCACTGCTGTAAGTTTCGCCATTTCAATCAACTCCTTACAGTCGCCAAATCGCTCTGTGGCCACAAGCCCATGTATAAGGTTTTCACAAGTGGTGGTGTCAAACACGTCATGCTTGCTTCTGAAGTGTTTATATATTGATAAAATTTCATTTTGTTCTTCTGTTGTCAGCGAATCAATGGAACCACCTCGTTCATGATAAGCTGTATTGTAAACTCGTAAGAGTCGCCCGAGGGTTGCCACATTGGGTTCAACATTGATCTTCTTCAAGTACTTCAAGTAATCTTTGGCTAATGGAAGCTGGTGTCCGTATTTAAATAAACCAATCATCATAGCATCTACGTTATTTGATGATATATATTTGTTATTATTTACAAGTGCTTGTTTAGCATCTTGCCACTCCTCTACGCTCAGTTCAGTTCGGTTATCAAAAAAATTCGTATACAAATCTTGCAGCGCAGCAGCTTGCAACTTTAAAGCAGGCGATCGCTTGAACACTCCACCTCTTCGTATTGACTGAAGTAATGCACTTCTCTCATTACAGAATTTTATTGTCGTTTTGAAATTTAGAAATTTTAAGCTATTCATTTTAGTTCCAAAATAATCCTATCTATTATTTATTATCATTGGCAATGTGTTTGAACTTAATCAGCTGTTATTTGTTTACAAAATTGCCTTGTGATGGCAATTGAGCGATAAATTAGTGAGGACAACGCACATGAAATTTGATTGTACGTTGTCATATGTTACGTTATGTCAACTTTCTTCATGTAATTTACTATGCAATATTTTACTCATAATTTTATAATTCATAAGGCACAATTTGTTATTTATTATTTATTCCTGTTTTCAAGGGAAAACAATATTGAAATAAGTATTTTATTGTATTGAAAACATATGGAAACTGTTCGTCTTAGTGGTGCTGTATGCATTACAGGGAGTTTACATTACGAACTTTGCTAGTGGATATCGATTTTGAGTGCAAAATCAGCAACCAAAGTCGCTTTGCCATATAAAAATACGCACAACAAACTTCGAACTTTGGCTGAAAGTTGACTTCGCTTAATATCTTTTCCTGAACATAGTACAGAATTTAATGCGTTATCGATAAGTTTTTGGTACAAAAATGGCGAATTGACAGATTTTTAAAAAAATATATTGCTAGCGCCAAGTTAGCAACGCTGCTGCGGAAGCTGTGTTGTTATATATGAATAAATTTAAAAAAACAATTTATTTGTTGAACTTTTTCAGATATATTTATTTACATAATAAATATAAAAATAATAATGTAATAAAAATTTTTTTTTTTTTAAAAAAAAAATAAAAAATAAATAAATATATTTAATTATTTGAGTTTTTTTTAGATATTTGAGTTGCAATCACATTTATTCTATATCTTCAGCATATTTTCTAAGCTATAGAAGTTGAAATTTCTTGTAAAACTTGAAATTTACTGCATTGATTAGGACTTCAAATTTCAGAAAATTGTATTATTCTAGTTTTGTGTTCTTTGTTGCCTTAATTAATTCTGTATTAGGAATATTCGCGTGTAAATTGTTATCGTTTCTAGATTTTTCTAAAAATAAACTTTTTGATAAAATTAATATATGCTGAATAAAGTACTAGTGTTGCTGAAAAGCTACGCTTTCTTTGTATAGTGACAGAGAAGCTTTATTTAAAATTAAGAGGTTTTTTCGAATAGCAAAAACAGAAATAAAGGACATATAAGGATATATAAGAATGGTCGCTTTGCATATAGTAAGTAAAACAATATGCATTACAAATGTCTCTACAAAAAGAGCAGCTTTGAAAACATAAAGAATAGGCGATCTGGTTGGTGTCACTAATTAAAATAAAAATAAGTGACAACAAAAAACAAAAAAAAAAACTGGAACTTGAACATTGAATGTTTGTGCAGCCTTCTTTGCTATTCGAAAAACCCTCTAAATTAATATATGTGATTTTTTTTGTATAGTTTGAAAAATACGTATCAAAGATCTACTATTCATAACGAATCGAAAGACTTTGCATATAAATAACATTCATTTTTGTTCAGTTTATTTAATTTTTTTAAAAAATAATAAATATTTCAATATTGTATAACTAAAAATTCGGGTTTCCATAACAATGTTTCCAGCTGATTGTTCATTAATAGATTAAAAAATGTAACAATTGTCAAAATGAAAACCCGAAACGATAATGTGAACACTTAATCAACGTTAATCGTTGATTAAAGTTTGTAATGTAACTCCGTATAAGATTCTCAACAATAAATACTACGTTGCGACGTAATGCTTCTGTTTCAGCCAACAGCTTTCTTCGTACAAATATGGCAACACTATTTTTAGTGATAGTTGTGCACAGCTGTTGGTTGACAACTCAATCATCATTGCAAATTCGGATAGTGTGTGTAGAGACAATAACAAGAGTGGTTTGAAATTTCGGCGTAGTATCCAAAAATAGCAAGTTATTGCTGTAACCTTAAAGAATTATTTAATATTTTATTTGGTGCTGTTTAAGAAAAAAAATATCGTAATGAGCGTGTAAGATGAACGCATTGCGTAACATCTTTAGCACGCGCACACTCAACTTACTACGACAGAATGGGCAAAATGCGCTCCTTAACTTAACACAACAACAGCCTGTAGAGGATGCAGCCACATCTGCACCTTTAATTGGGAATGATAATAATACAAAACCTGCTCCGCTACTCATACCGAAATCCATACTCGATGCAACCACATTTACGGGCAAGAAATTTGCAGCAAATGGAGCATCCTCGGGTTCGGTGTCGCCAACCACATTGAAGAACTATCGGCGCATGCAGCGCAAAGTGGAATTAGTCTATCGTTGCAAACTGTGCAACACACGGAACAGTAAAACTGTGACGGAAGCTGCATACACCAGTGGAATTGTCATATTGCAATGCGATGGTTGCGGCGTCAACCATTTGATTTGCGACAACGTAGGTTGGTTTGCGGATACAAAGTCCAAGGGCAAGACATTTGACGAAATGCTAGCCGAGCAAGGCAATCGTGTAAAGGTCATTAAAGTCAACGAACGTGGCGAACTGATCTAGTCCTTAAATTTGTTATTTTGTTATTTGCATTTTTGTACTCACGGAAATGTGAAAATGTTTTAATAAAAACAACGCATAAGCAATGAACATAAACATTTGTTTGTGTCTTCTACAATATTTAAACGGCAGTCTGCGTAAATGCTAATTAATCTAATTGTTGTTATTCTGTTTGTTGTGCAAACAAGTTTATCTTCTCGACACATCAAGACATATTTGAGATAGAAGATTCTGGCAGCGTTACAAAATTTATTATTATTTATTTATAAAAAAATTATATTTTTCCATTCAACGAAAACGGATTTAAAAAAAATTAATATCAATAATTATCATCTAAAAGTGTTTAGTCACGTCGAAAAATAAAAAAACAAACTTTTTTTTATAAATAAACTGATAACGAATGATTAACATGATTGATTAGTTCTCGTTTTATCAGTCCCATAAAAATTTGTGCAAAATTGTAGTGTAATCGATTGTTGGCGATTGGCTTTTCTGGGTAGTAGTCGCGGGTGTGCGTAATACGTCTGGAATGGCGAGGAAAGATTCCAATCGTTTCAAGTTCGCAGTTGACCACTTTATGGACTTTGTCGATTTGTTGATAGGCGTTCATTTAAGGGATTAGAATTATTGTATATCTTTCACGAATAAAGTTAATCAAGTAAATAAATAGAAGAGGTGATATAAAATCTATTTTTTGATAATTCAATAAAAATATGAATCATATATTATAAATAGCATCATATAATTATATATATATTATAATTGGTTGCTTGCATATACATATATTGTTACATATCTAAATAATATTGTTGGATATATATTCTATATACACATATGTTATACCAGTCGATTAAACCTTTTTAATATTTTATACAAAAAACTTTAGTTAAGTTAGCAATTTGAGACTATTAGAAGTTTACAGTAGAGACAATCAATTATTCAAAGATTTGAATTTTTCTAAAGCAGAGTTTTCGTGAATATTGTAATCTTCTCAGGTAGCAAATATTACAATACACAATCATAATTTAAGACAGACTAGCCTTAGATTAGACTAAACTAGACTAAAATTCACACTGACATCTTATACTTATATATATATTAATAGTATTGATCAGATGCAAGCTACTCGTTGTTTATAGGTAATGTAAATCATAGTGTCCCGCTTTGACTGCCTGACCTTTGCGGTGTCTTTCAAGCAGAGAAAATGGCAATTAACTATGCAGCAAAGTGGATCCAGAGCCATAGGATTTCGTACATGAACAACGCAATTTTCTCAGACAGTCTGAGAGGCTTTATAGTCGCTTCTCTTGTAGTTCGAAAATGTCGGGTTTCCTCAACGAGTTGTCTAGATTAGTAAGAGTCCATAATTCATATAAATATTTGGACACAGATATATCTCGTAATTGTGAAACGGATTAACTTGTGATATTATTCGTCAAGTGATTCCAAGTTGCCTCTATACTGGGCATAAGCTGTCTACAAATTGCTTCTATATTTGCCTTCTTACTGTCACTTCTCCGAGCTCAAAAATATGGTGTATAATCTGCCAAGGTATATTGATTGGCTATTGATTTCGTTTATTGTTGATCTGCGCCAGGTAATCTCAGGTCTTCCTCTTCTTCTACTGCCTTGCGGATTATACGTAAGAGCTTGAAAAGGGACTTCAATTGATGGCTTTCGTAAGGTGTAACCAATTGGCATACTGCTCTCTGAAATTCCCTCCCCGCATATTGGTATCTCACTCGTTACAGCTAAGCTAGTCAGCTTAAAAATTTTAAGCGAACACTACAAAAGCCTGGATAGTTGAAGATTCTCATCTGGACAAAATGCATAGCTGCTTCAATTAAAGCGGAATGAATTTAGTTTTATGGTATCGGTGCTGGCCGATCACTACATATTAGGAAGGCAAAAGGGAAAACTTTTTCCATCATGTAACACCTTTTGTCGAGGCTGTGGGATCTGCAGGTGAGGAAGAAAGTCTACTCCACCAAGTGCTTAGCATTGGCAGTAGAAGATTAAAAATCGTTGAGGCCCGTTTTTTAATTGACCTGGCAGAGCTGCAATTCTTTTTCAAATAAGGAATATTGCCAAATTTATAGAGTTGTCATGTTGGTTTCATTCTATTTAAACATTTGTGCATTCTTAAAAGGATACTGACCGTTAATCAAATGTTTGAAATTTTTACATCAATAGTATCATAACGAACCATTTTTGTGCTAAAGCGGTACACTAGACTGTCGCTTCAACCTAACCTAAATTATGATATCATATACAATAGTAAAGAAATGTGCAGAAGTATGTACACATGTGAATATTGTTCTAATCAAGTGTAAAGGGTTTGTAACTATTTTACGTATATACATAGATAAACTTGAAAAGCTCAATAAACTCGACATTTAGGAAATATTACGCGTCAAAGTCCAATGTTGTTATCTAATAATTTTATTTATTTTTTATAAAGTAAGTGGTATTTTATTTATTTAGAGTAAATATAAAATGGCCGTGGATAAGGTATACGCTTCATAAAGTAGGTTCAGTCAGTGCGAAAATATTACTTGAACAGAACCTTCAACTAAATCGTAGATCTGACTGGACTAGTACTGGCCTTGGCTGCGAGACTTAAACATAGAACATCGGTAAATATACTTTTACTAGATATTATTGCTCCAGACTACATTACCGATTAGTGGTCGAAATACTGTCAAAGGTTTAATCCTTATTCCCCAAATATACACCGCTTCATATATGTATGTTAATGAGTTTTATATAAACTAGATCAGATCATTATAACATGGGTCATCTTGCATGGACACAACTAATGTAAGGACGAGGGAGAGCATAGTACATTTTAAATTCAATTCCATTATTCTATGTCGGCAGATTTCATGATACAAAAAACCCATAAAGTTCTGATAACACATTCACAAAATAGACCTAAGTTGTTTTGTTGTTATGACTGAAATCAATTCTGCACCGAATGAAGCACGCTTATTTTGACGTCGGGAAAGATTATAGAATTTTTGACAAACATTAAAAACACATAATGATAACATGTTTTGATGTCGTGAACATTTGTCACGATGACATGCTCAATTAATTTTTCGACGCACGGGGAATAACGCTTAACCGAAATTAGATAAGAAAATTACATGCTTATTTACATATGTACTTATTTTTAGTGTTTAGCCCACCATTTCAGATAACATATTCATACATAGTTTTAGAGATTATAAATTAATTATAACAAACAATGGGTGGAGAAACGTTCCATGTGTGATGTAAGGATAAAATGGAATTTAACACATTTATAACAATCGTTGTTGTAACCCAGTTGGACGAGAGGGAATTGGCCCTGGACATAGATCCAACTGCCATTAACACCCATTAATTGCAGTCGAAGATTATAAGGAAAATATTAAAAACCTCACTAATTCCATAGGACAAAGTCAAAGTATTGGTCATACTTAGAAAAGCACTTAAGAAAAATTAATCAGGTTAACGATCTGTAGCGAGTGGTGTATTCAGGCGAGATCGATAGAGATTATCGATCTATAGCGAGTGGTGTAATTCTCTGTCAGGCCAGTTAGATTTCTAATCTACAGCTGGCCAAAAATAATCATTAATAAGAATTGTAAACACGGATTCCGCATCTTCTTCGGAGCCACAACCTCAATAAAAGACGTTATACGGTAGATCCAGTCTCATAGCATATCTTCCTAATGAGCACAAATACAGTAGTGCTGCACAGGTCTGTTTTAGTTATAATAGCTGACTGGTATATTGCCTTCCAGTTTGGTCCAATTAAATATTGAGATCTGACAAGAATTTTTATATACCCAGGTTTTTTAGCAATATCCGAGATATGCATATCAAAAAAAGGATAGCCTTGGCAAGCTGGTCTGCTCTTCGTTAACATAACAATTGAGATAGGGACTGGTGGGAAGGTCCAAGATTTTACGTGATTCCCTGCCGTGAAAACTCTACATCACGGTGTTCTTCACACACGCATCGGTATATTGCGCCGATGAACGCCCCATTGGAATTCCTAGGAATTCCGCCGGTACCAGTTGCAGCTATGTGTTTGGGCATAGCTTCCCCCTTGGTGAGGAGCGAGGCCTATCTAACACCTCTGCTGATCTTAGGGTCACAGCACCCGGTTGGAAAATGCAACTCCACATCAAATGAAGGTAAATAAATGATTATATGTGTAAAGGAATGAAGAGATGAATAATGAATGAAAATAATGAGTAAAAATGAATGAAATGAATACCAACATTCTACCCGCGTATGTTTGGGTTTTAACCACAGCCACCACGAAACTCCCTTTAAGGAGCCAACCTCAAATGGTCAGGACAGCAGAAGCTGCGGGCCCTGACCCCCGTGGTACCAGAATTACACCTCCGATCGAGTGTCGTAAGTGAAACAATTCACTTACTACCAGTGACGCTCCAAACAGCAACGGGATGGTTCCCACAACACAACAGACAAACAACAAAAGATGTTCAACAGACAACAAAGAAATCCAGACAACAGACCACAAGCAGACAACGACAACACACAGGGAGCTACAAATGAAAAGTTTTGACACCTCACACACACATTGCACTGACAAGTGCACACACTTACCCAATCACACCTGTTGCCTCAGTTGACCAACCAAGGCCCGACGACGATTAAATACTGTCCTTGCAAATGCATCCAGTCTATTAAAACTTTCAGCATTAGCAAGAACAGTACTAACATCATACCCATCTGCTGTTATCCTAACACCCATTCCTTCCAAATTTAGTACATTATCATACAACACACACTGACAGAAAACATGCTTCCAATCCTCCAAGTGATACCCACAAATACACTCCGAGTTGTCAACTAAAGCCCTTTGATGCAAAAATGCATTTAACGACCCGTGCCCCGTCAGGAGATAGCCAAGACTCAAGCCGAAACCAAAGTCTAGTCTATCCCTAACGAAATTGACATCCCGGATATATTCATAGGTCACTCTTCCATGTTCACACTCATTCCATCTAGCTTGCCAGCTAGATGTCACACACTCACTCAATAACCTTACAATCTGTGATTTGTTTAAATTCACGAC